AATGTCAGCAAACAGGTATTACTGAAGCTTTATTGTTACTTTCTAACATATTATCTGCAGCTCTGTATTAAATTGACTGCTAAAGTGTCATTTACTAGTATGTCGGTAAATAGGTATCAGTATCACTTTTCACTAATATTAAATGATTTTTCATGCGTCATCTGCTAGTTCATGTTTCTAACATCAAACAAATGTCAGTAGACGGATGTCACTTAAGGTTTTATTGTTAATTTCTCACTTAATATTAGCTACTCTATATTTACATTACTGATGGAGTAGCTCTACTCCAGCATAAACTGATCATTACAGAAGTTATAATCAAATGATTTAAACTGATCTACATTCTACTTTAGCAGAGATAAATTTAAGTCACTAGTGACTTAAATTTACCTCTGCTAAAGTAGAGTTCATGCTAGTAGTTTCTTCTTCAGGAGTAAATTTATCTTCCTGATCACTGTACGGAGTTCATCCATTGTTTCTCCAGTCTTCTCACATCCGTTCTACTAGACACCATAACATCTGGCTCAGTATTACGCAAGTGATTGAGCTGTAGTTGCTAGATAATCTCTTGTAATCCTTGGCGTATTGCAGTGCAAGAGAAATAGCTCTTGTGAAATCTGTTGGCCAACTATTCTACAATCTTTAAATTTAATTTAAATTGGAATACACTACATACAGCCCTGTCTTAGTGATCAAGAGTATACTTGTTACTTAAAGTTGTAAGGCTGCTGTCAACTTGTACTCTGTTTAGGCTAAGTTAGATAAGGTTCATCTGGAAACTGGACAATTGTTTCCTGACGCGGGTCCTAGTCATATGATGACCTGCCACTGGAGCTTTTGATAATGTGATCGAGGTTTTCCACTGTCTTGCCAGTTCACCCCCTTTGAAAATTAAAATTAGTTTCTTTTTTTGTACTCCGAAATATTGCAAGTCTGTATACAATATTAATTCATTTAAATCAATAAGTGGAAATAAATTTACTTACAACAAGTAAGTGAACTATAGATATAAATCTAAATGTACTCCTGTATGTACCCATATGCTCTGGAGCTGCCATCTACAGGATGGATATGAGGTGTACAAGAAACTAGCCGCTTCAACGGTAAAATCTAAAAAATCAGGATGAACTCAAATATGAAAGCACTTCTTGAACGTCTTTGTAAACATGGCCCTTCTATGTTCCAGATTCTTGTTTATCACGCCATATTTAATATTTAGAAATTATTTATACTTGAGAATAATATGTATAAGTTTATTAACAAGAGCAAATGTTTCAGGCTAATTAATTTTACAACCGAATATTATTATTGTTAGGATTAATAAATAAATAGGTGTCCTTCAGCATATTATAAATCTGTTAAGTAAAAGGACACATTAGTTGCACTTGTGTCCTTTTACTTAACATATTGTTGGTAATTCTACCAACTTTATTATCATATTATAAATCACTGGATAAATAGAATAAAATATAGTAATTGTATAATCACTAATTAACATTAACACTTTTGTTTACATGATAAAACACTGAATAAGTATATACGCTAATAATAATTATACATGACGTCAAATATAGACATGTTCTGTAAAATACCTATGATGAAGCAGTTAACGAATTATCAAAGATTATTTAGAGTCTCTTGATAACCACAAATAAGTGTTCTTGGCATTATTAACCATTTTTTTAGACAACTCAACTTAAGGATTCTGTTTCATCTGGTTCGCAAGACCATAACTATAAGAAATACTGAATAAATACTAAAATCTTCTATTCTAGAGTGGAGTGACTAGCTCCCGGGTCATCCCTCCCTCGATACTGCCCCTTTTAAAGAATATTTATCACAATTGGGACCTCTAAGGAGGTCCTCTAAATCATCTTTATAGTTATAAATTGTTATGCTCAGATATACTGGTTGAGAAATCTGAAATGGACTAGATAATTATGCTCTTATTTAAAAGGAGAATGTTATAAATTTTTGTAACCAAACGACTGATAATGCAGCAATCAAAATACATAAAAAATGCTACACTACTTGACCATACAACTCACCGTGAAGTTGCGTGATGTACTGCAACAAACTGGTCCTACAGGAACCTAAACTGCCCAAGTGCTTCAACTAGACTAGTTTACCTGTTTTCCCGAGGGGATTTTCCGAGGAATGAGACAACGGAAAAGAAACAGAAATATGGAAATTCATTCAGTTGGGCCTAAGGAATGTCAGCCATGTTATCTTCCTTTATATTCGTGCCCTTGTCCTGACTTAGTTTATACATTTAAGGTGTGTGCAGTTACTATGGTGGTTGTAGAGAGATATATCACCGGGTTGTTCCCCTTTCATAAGTAATGTTATTACACCAAGTCTCAGGTGTAGCAGTGTTGACTTCGCTAATACTCTCCCAGGCACTGTTTACAACCTCTTCCTTGTAATCCTCACATTAGCAAATTAATGCCATATATAGTGAGAGGCCTGACGGAATATGTTGTTATATGAGAAGGAAGATAAAAATACTTACCCTTTCCGGCTTTGATACGTCATTCAATACACGCAAGTAATTGAAAACTTAAACGTCCTCCCACTCACATCCTGGGTAACACTGTCACCTTGAGGAACAATGTTTCTGTCAGTCTCTTTGACCAACCAAATCCTCTTAAAAATTAAAATTAGTATACAACAAGTTACTCTTGGTGTAAAAACATTAACTGATGAGAATTACCACAACATGAGTATTGAATGATGTAGCATGCAGAGCGATACATGTAAACAGAGGTTAATATAATCAAACTAACATTTGATTGTCAGGAAAATATTGAGCCTTTACGGAATTATTTTTATCACAGCCTCAGACGACTAACTTGATGGTTCTTTCTCGTCGTACTAGAGTGAAAGATACCTGAAAATGGTTATAATCATAGCCATAATTTTTAAAGGGGTGGAGCGGTAAGCCAGTGAAAGGTCTCGGTCAGATGAGCGGTTACCTGGAGGTTACCTGGAGGTTATTCCGGGGATCAACGCCCCCGCGGCCCAGTCCATGACCAGGCCTCACGGTGGATCAGGGCCTGATCAACTAGGCTGTTACTGCTGGCCGCACGCAGTCCAACGTACGAGCCACAGCCAGGTTGATCCGGCACTGACTTTAGGTATCTGTCCAGCTCTCTCTTGAAGGCAGCCAGGGGCTTATTGGTAATTCCTCTAATGCTTGATGGGAGGCTGTTGAACAGTTTTGGGCCCCGGACACACCATAAGTGTGTACCAATGGCGCCCCTACTTTTTATTGGGGGCATTTTGCATCGCCTGCCCAGTCTTTTACTTTCGTAGGGAGTGATTTCTGTGTGTAGATTTGGGACCATTCCTTCCAAGATTTTCCAAGTGTAGATTATGATATATCTCTCCCTCCTGCGTTCCAACGAGTACAAGTCAAGTGCTTCCAAGCGTTCCCAGTAGTTAAGGTGCTTGACAGAACTTATACGTGCAGTAAAGGATTTCTGTACACTCTCTAGATCTGCGATTTCACCTTCTTTGAATGGAAATGTTAATGTACAGCAGTATTCCAGCCTAGAGAGAACAAGTGATTTGAAAAGGATCATCATGGGCTTGGCATCTCTCGTTTTGAAAGTTCTCATTATCCATCCTATCATTTTCTTTGCACGTGCGATCGTGGCACTGATGTGATCCTTGAAAGTGAGATCCTCAGACATTACTACTCCCAGGTCCCTTACATTATTTTTCCCCTCTATTGTATGACCAGAGTCTGTAGTATACTCTGTTCTAGTTATTAACTCCTCCAGTTTTCCATAACGGAGTAGTTGGAATTTGTCCTCATTGAACATCATATTGTTTACCGTTGCCCACTGGAAAACTTTGTTTATATCTTCTTGGAGGTTAACCGCGTCCTCAGCAGATGACAGCCTCATGCAGATCCTAGTATCATCCGCAAAGGATGATACGGTGCTGTGATCATCATTTGAGTAAGACTCGCGCCTGGAAACACTTGTCCTGTTTCCTGACAAATCTCACCTAACCTAACCTAAGATATGGGAGCAAATGTAGAATAAACACCGTGAAATGCAGGGAGGGCCGTGAGCACAATAAGAGAACCTTCTATTAACATCCGTGGCCAGAGACTATTCAACTTGCTACCAGCAAATTTCAGAAATGTTGCCGGAACAAGTGTAGAAACCTAGCACTCCGCCAAGTGTTAGATCAACCAGGCCGTAATGTCTGTGTCTACCACAATCAGCTAACAGCAACAGCCTGGTTGAACAAGCAGTCAACAAGGAAGCTTTGCCACATCTCTTATGTTAGCAGATGAAATTTCGACAGCGGTAATACGTATATTTGTTGCACTCAGATAAAACTTACACAAAAAATATATTCACGAGCATACAACACACACACAGGCAAAAAACACGTACGTAAAAAATACGCACACAGCTACAACCAGCATACACAGGCAAAAAATACGGACGCTGCGCACTGAAAGATGTTAAGATAAGATTAGATAAGATTTCGTTCGGATTTTTAACCCCGGAGGGTTAGCCACCCAGGATAACCCAAGAAAGTCAGTGCGTCATCGAGGACTGTCTAACTTATTTCCATTGGGGTCCTTAATCTTGTCCCCCAGGATGCGACCCACACCAGTCGACTAACACCCAGGTACCTATTTGCTGCTAGGTGAACAGGACAACAGGTGTAAGGAAACGTGTCGGAATGTTTCCACCCTCGCCGGGAATCGAACCCGGGCCCTCCGTGTGTTATTCATGTTATTCATGTACAGCTATAATGAATGTAAGTCCCAACGATAATTTACCTGGAATAATTCACAATTATCTTAAGTAACTCACAAATGTCACAGCTAACACACAACAAATCCTCAGTTTTCACAACTAATTCACTATTTTCACAATTTCTCACCCACCATTCACACCTACCATCTCACCCACCACTTACGCTCACCATTCCACTCACCACTTACGCCCACTATCCCTCCCACAGGTCACACGGGCGGTGGCTGGCGCCCACGACGGAGGCGCCGACGGTGAACCACAGAACCAGAGAGAAGATGCTTCTGGATGAGATCCTGGGTAATGGAACCTACGACAGGAAGATCAGACCCTCCAGCATCCATAAGAAAGGTGGGAGATAAGGAGGGTGGAGGGAGGAAGGAAGGGTGGAAAGGAGAGTAGGACGAAAGGAGGGTGGATAGTAGGGAGGAAAGGAGTGAGAGAAGAAGGGAGGAGAGGAAGCGTTGGAGAATTATAGGAAGTGAGGGAGGGATGAAGAAGTAGGAGTATGGGTTAGAGAAAGAGAAAGGGAGGCAGAGACAGACGGAGGGAGAGAGATAAAAGAGGGAGAAACATACAAGAAAGGAGAAGGAAACGGGAGATAAAGGTACCAGAGACATATAGACAAGAGGAGGGAGAGAGAGAGAGGAAGAAAAATCTGAGAAAGAGAAGGATATAAATAATGGAGAAGAATCTAAGAAAAAGTAGGGAGAGAGGAAGAGAGAGATAAAGGAGGGAGAAGTACCTAGGAGAGAGAAGGGAAATAAAAGAGAGACATAAACAAATCGATTGTTTGCTGATCAAAGTCAAGCAAAGAAACACACACACACACACACACACACACACACACCACACACACACACACACCACACACACACACACAAGCACACACACACACACCACACACACACACACTTTGTACACCAAGCACGTCAGGACCATACTGAAGCATGCGGCAACAGTTTGGAGCCCACCCCAGGCCAAGCACTTCAAGAAATTAGAGGAAGTGCAAAGGTTTGCAACGCGTCTAGTCCAGAGTTAACGGGCATGTCCTACGAGGAGACGTTAAGGGAAATCAACCTGACGACACTGGAGGATAGGAGGGATAGAGGGGATATGATAACAACATATAAAATACTGGGACGAATTGAAAAGGTAGACAGAGACAGGATGTTTCAGAGACGGAACACAACAACAAGGGGTCACAATTGGAAGCTGAAGACTCGGATGAATCACATGGATGTTAGGAAGTATTTCTTCAGTCACAGAGTTGTTAGGAACCTTACGATACTGCTTTAAGAATAGGTATGATAAAGCTCAAAAGGAGAATTGGAGGAGGGACCTAGTAGACGACAGTGAAGAGCCGGACCAGGAGCTAATGAATCTGACCCGGTGCAACCACAGAGTTAGGTGAGTATACACTCACACACATGCACCATTAGAACCTACACACTTAAATAGAACAAATACAGAGAGAGAGAGGAACCAGTAGCGATCAGTGAAGAGGCGGGGCCAGGAGCTGAGTCTCGACCCCTGCAACCACAATTAGGTGAGTACAATTAGGTGAGTACGTACACACACACACACACACACACACACACACACACACACACACACACACACACACACACACACACACACACACACCACAAACACACACACACACACTCACACACAGAAAACTGGAGAGTAATGTAGTGGAGGCAGGATCTATACATATCTTTAAGAAGAGATACGATAAAGTTCTCGGAAAAAAGACCGAACCTAGTATCGACCAGCAAAAAGGCGGATCCAGGAGCTGTGAGTCGATTTCTGCAACCACAAATAAGTGAGTACTAATAGGTGAGTAAACACAAAGTATAACAGACTCATCTTAGAGTACGCATCACCAGTATGGAACCCACACCTTGAGAAACATCAAGAAGCTGACAAACGTGCAGAGGTCTACCTCGGCGCTCGGCGCTCGGCGCTTTTAATCCCTTTTAGTATAAACTACTAAGAGGGATCAAAAGAGCTAAACCTGACGACATCAAAGGAACAGAGAACCAGGAGAGACATCATAACTACGTGCCAAATACCGACAGGAACTGATAGAGTAGGCTGGGACACTGTTTAACATGCGAAAAACAGAGTCATGTGTTAGCAGTTTACTGGACGCTGGTTGTTAGCAGTTTAACGGACACTGGTTGTTAGCAGTTATTGGACGCTGGCTGTTAGCAGTTTACTGGGCGGTGGTTGTTAGTTATTTACTGGACGCTAGGTGAAAGTAACTAGTAAGGTTCTTCAAGGCTTGATACTAGCTCACTAATTTCTCTTAATATACGCAAATGATTGTTCTTTGATAACATGAAACTAATGAGAAGAATAAGAACACTAGAGGATGGAGAGAAGCCACCAGAAAACTTGAAGGGGCTGCAGGAGTGGGCTAACAAGTGGATGCTGCAGTTTAATCCAGACAAGTACAAGTTAAAGCTGGAGAGAATGAAAGAAGACCAGAGAAAGTTTATAAACTCGGAGGAAAGACTATATATAAAGGAAGCAAAGAATACCGAACATATCACCAAAGGGACATGTAAGTTAGGTGTCATTAGGAGCACATACGAGGCTAACAAATCCTAAAACTGCCTGCAGAAACCTAAATAATCCTTCAGGACATATGTTATACATATCTTAGAATATACAGCTCCAGAATCCTAAGATCACTGGTATATAATAGGTACAGGTTGATGAGTAAGACATGTGCAGCACTTTGGTATCCTTCTTGAGAGTCGTTTCTCAATAAAGATCCCAGGTGTTTCACATGTGTCTTATTCATCAGGATGTTTGTCTGACACAGCAACACCATGGTGTCTGGTGGACTGAGAAAGTATTCTATATTTCCATTGTTAAATATAAGTTTCTCTTGATGGGTTTGACCTACTTTCACTAGTGGGTCCCGTCCACAGTGTGACCTCGTCTGCAACTGCTGCATCTGTCCCAGGGGCGTATATACTGTGAAACTAATGAAGATTAAGCTTCATGGCCCCTAATCCCGGAGGGGCCTCAGAAGACACTTTGGTCCACATTGGTTAAAAATTTTGGGTCTGCTGTATGAGAAGGGTTTTTAAAAATATAATGTTAATAATATAGTGTAATTCAAAAGAAAATAACAGTTAAAATAAAAATAAAAATGGTATTAAAGTATCAGGTAGGCTCGTTGTCGCAGGTTGTAAAGGGGCCCCGAAACAGTTCCAGCTTCAGGGCCCCAAAAATGTAGGTCCGCCACTGATGTGTCCACTTCTTCCACTATAATTCTCCTTCCTCATGCCTCTGTATCAGCTTGAATAAAGCTTGTTGTGTTGTACATCTGTTTTGTTCATCACACAACACCAGCTTGAAGTCTACACCTAAAAAAGAACAAACAGAAGGTGAAGAAAGTATATAAGTATGAAACTAGACTGGTGTTTGACCCGAGAAAGTTGAATAATAATAACAATAATAATAATAACAACAACAAGAACAACAACAGCAACAACAACAACAATAATAATAATAATATTAATAATAATAATAATATTAATAATAATAATAATAATAATGTATAATAATAATATAATAATAATAATGTAATAATAATAATATAATAATAACAAAACAATAAAATAATATATAATAATATAATAATAATAATAATAATAAATAATAATAATATTACTAATAATAATAAAAAATAATAATAATAATAATAATAATATTACTACTAATAATAATAACAATAATAATAATATTAATAACAACAACAACAACATACAACAACAAAAACAACAACAACAACAACAACAACAACAACAACAACAACAACAACAACAATAACAACAACAATAATTACCTTTATTTCTACAAGTACATATACAACGTATACAGTCCTAGCTGACATCAGTGACATATTACATAGCAAGCCCCTGGTTATGTAGAGCATTTCGGGTAAATTAGGTTAATTTTATCCCCAGAATGCGACCCACACCAGTCGACTAACATCCAGCTACCTATTGACTGCTAGGTCAACAGGGACAACAGGTGTCTTAAATAAAACACCCTCGAATGTTCTCACCCGTACTGTGGGTCGAACCACAGACCTCAGTGTGTGAGATGTGTGCGCTAGCAACCGAGCTACGGGACACCTAAATAGGTTTAAATAATTAAACCTGACAATCTTCGAAGAAAGATGTTCACTACATTATAATCGAACATTTGTATTGTTTTACCATACAAATCAATTCCGTGCTCGTTTTCTCTGATATACAACCAGTCAAAATCCACGAAAAGAGCATTGTAAACTCAAGCAGTCGAGGAGATATGCAAATTTCTAATTAGCTGGCTTTATACACTACAAGAGTTTCTGAAGGTCCAATTTATATTCAGTATTTTAATACTTTGAGCATTATTTATAAAGTCAATATTCTCAGGGCTGTGAAAAACGTAATTTCCTCCAAAACGTCTTTAAGAATACTGAGAATATTTTATCCTTTTGGAAATCAGTGTAAAATTTCACTCGCGAGCGAACATACATTAAGGACTTTCTCAAAACGGTGAATATAAATGGCATCATAATTTTATGAAAACAAATGTTCAAAAATGGCAAAGAAGACTTTTGCTTCAGTGGAAAACTTAATAACAAAGCCACATTTATTGAAGAAAAACGTTGTTAAGACAATCAAACAACAAGGAAATTTACTTTAAGTATTTTACTAAACACACATTTAAAAAACATAACAATTACCTTGAACAACCGACAAAGTATTTCCCACAGGCACTCTGATACTTCCAGGACAATAATACTCATAACTAAACGCATATTTCGAGTCTTAAAGCCAAATGTAATTATGACATAAATATATTCATGTGCAGTGAACTGTTACCTTAGACTGTATATACCTACCAAAATGTCCAGTAAGTCATTACTAGAAAAAAGACAAATATTTCATTTAAAAAAATTATACATACTTTTGATGACTAGTTAAAACCTGGTCGAAATTATATATATTAATATATATATATATAAATATATATATATTATATATATATATATATATTATATATTATATATATTGTATATATATATAAATGAATGAGGCATATGGTATCCTTTACAAAGTGCTACATTGGTTCCATTATGACAACGGCGTCCCGCACACTTCCTCTTTCACACTTCAAAACTACATATCAATTTATAGAACTTCAATGCATTTAAATTCAAAATTTTCGACTTCCTCTCATACTGGAAAAATGGATTTTAATTGTAAATTCCTTCCATGAATATATGCATTTAATCAAATTTTTTTACATAAGACGGACTTTCGCGAGTTTCTATA